CTATCCAGCCTTCTGTTCAAACAGTCTTATACTGCCATCCAATGGTCAAAACAGGTACTACACGCAAAACCAAATTAAATATTTCTATTTACATTTGACAATAATTACTACTTATTGTCAAATTTCAAATAATATTATTGTTTATCACAATAATTTCTGAGACAATTAATCGCCCTGCAAAATTAGTTATCGTGACAGGCCTAACGGTGGCGTCTGGAAAGTAACCCCCTCGATAATCGAGGGACTGCTGTATTTATGCTTTGCTGAATACTTGGGAGTCATTTTGTTGTTGTTTGTTGCAGCTTCAGTCCTCTTCTATGATTGGTACGTCCCTAAAGAGGAACGGCACGACTCTGCCCTGAAGAGAAACAAGGAAAACCTGGTCACTGAACTCGGCCTGTGGGAGGGTTACCTGCAGAAGGTGCGTGCACAAGCGCTCACTGCAGCTCCACGTGCAGCGACGTAATGAAAACTCATTCTCATTCCTCTCCAGCTGGGCTCGGGCTCTCACCTGGCAGGACCGTCTTTCACCCTGGCAGATGTGGTCGTTTTTCCAACCGTTGCTTTTCTCTTCAGATTTGGGTAAAAGGAGGCCAGAGGATATTTTGTTTCACATTCTTTAGACTTCACCAGTAAAACCAGTTGTGATCCAGTGTTGTTTTAGTTGTAAATGCCTCTCTCTCATGCTGTAGGCTGTCTGCAGAGCGCTACCCTAAACTGGGAGAGTATCACGCCCGGCTGAAGGACAGACCGAGCATGAAAGCCAGCTGGCCCCCTCATTGGCTGGAAAACCCCGAGGGACAAGACGTGCTGAAAGACATGTGAAACTGACACATCTGCACCAAATATCTGTCTTTCTCTATAAAACATGCAAAACCAGTTGTTAAAATAGATTCAGCCTCAGTTTCTAATCAAAAAATGCTAACATAGTTTTCTGCAGACTAACACCCTGAGGCCTTACTTCCTTCAGTGTTGGCAAGTGTCCCGTGATGACTGCAGCTGATTTCACTGTGTTGAAATCTCAACAGATTTCTGTAATCACACCACCTGCAGCGTTGAAAGCCTTCTCGGCGCCTTCGGTAGTTTTTGTTTCAGTTGGTGTCAACATTCCCTTCGCCCCAGTTAAACGCTGCGTAGTAAAATGTTGTCGGTGCCATCATTTTAGAACTGACCAGATATATCCAGTTCGAGGTGTTCAAAGTTCACCTGGAAGAGGTAAAGACAGGTTTGTCTTTCAATAGCTAATCTGTGTTTTATCTTTTTAAATGCCTGAAACCCATTCTCTCTGCACAAAGGTAGCTCGTGTCCTGTATGGTCATGACTTTGCATAAATCTCAGTCCACAGAGTTGCTTCCTTTGCATAGTCTTTGCATTTCATGTTGCGTGCAGCCACACAGCTGGAAGCTGCATGTCACTGTTGCTTAAATAAAATAAATGAGTGTAATCATCTTGTTTTTAAGTGTCTTCTGTTGCTGCAAACATTGTTCATAAAATTGTTCAGAACTTGGAGTTTTAACCCAACTTGTCCACCTGTTTTTATGTTTATGAATAGAGACATTTCTATATTTAGTTTACCGTCAAACTTGAAACCAAAGCAAACCTGTTGAAAGGGATCAAATGAGCATATTATTTCACCTGCATCTTGTTTACAGACCGAATAAAGTTTATTTGTAATAATGATCAAAAGTAATTACCCAACATTCATAGCGGTGAAAAAATATTTTGCAAGAATTTTAAACTATAACCAAATCTTTCATCAGGAGCTTCATTTGTGTAGGATCTGAAACCTATGAGTCATAATTAGATCTTCCAGAGATCAATAGGTTAATCTATAATGTGTTGCTTTAGGTTAAGATTTGCTTGAAGGTGTGAGGACTTTGACCTCTTGCATCACTGATTGAATTGAACTGATAAAATCAATCCAGATGTTTGCTCCAGCCAGCATTAAATTCAGCCCAGAGCGCCACTCTGGACATAGTCGTCACTTCAGGACTTTATATTTGTCGACGAGCTGCAGCCCAAACTTTATTTTCTCTAAATTAGGAGCCTACATTTTCTATTTTGCAATTATAATGCTGAAAAAGTCCCCTCAAAACTATCCAGTTTTCATAAACAGATGCTTCTCTCTTGGTCATTGATTTACAAACATCATTTCTCTCCACACAGATATTCTATTTGGAACAATAGAGACATCTTGCATGAAAACAAATCCTTGTTTTACCCTAACTGGTTTATTCACAACATTTAGTTCATCAGTTGCTCAGCCCAGAGGGATCATTAATGTCATATCAAGAATTTGTCATAAAATATAACATGATCCCTATTAACAAATTTAATATTGTAATAAAAGTAATCCCTACTGGAGTAATTATTTTACACAGCAGGACAGAATCCAACACTGTTACCCTTTGATCCAACCAAACTTGAAATTGGTCCAATCTGCTTCTCCTCAACCCATAACTGTCGTATCCGTTCACTATTTCAGAAAGATGTTGTGTCAACTCCATATGTGGTACCTTATTGGAACACCTTTATTATTAACCTTAACTGGAAAAGGATTTGGATTTTACCAACCAGATACATGATAAATAATAAAGGAAGTATCATTCAAGATTATTCATAGATTTTACCCATCCAAAACATATGTCCAACAGTTTAACAAGGATATAAATATAATTTGCTCTTTTTGTGATGAAAACCCAGAATATGTCTTCATTTATTATGGTCTTGCCCCTTCTCAACTCAATTTTGGAAAAGTATTTGTATTTTGATTTCTACTTTTAAAGAACCAGATATCTCACTTTGCTTTGAACGTGTTTTGTTTGGCTTCACTGACTCAACAGCTAAAGAAAAACAGTTCTATATTATTAATCTCATTATATACCGAGCCAAATGGCATATTCATAAATGTCGATACACTAATCAAAACCCTCTTATCTCCATTTTTGAAAATGAGGTCAAACAATACATCAAAACTATTAAATATTCCACCAACATGAGGCCATAAAAACTTGCACCTTATGTGGTCTCCAATATATTTATGTAATATGTTATTGAAAATTATTGTTTGTGTTTGCGCACAGAAAATGTTGGAGTCAGTCTCCCCACCATCACAGACATCTACACCTCCAGATGCAGGAAGAGGACCACCTGCATCATGAAGGACCCCACTCACCCAGCACACACACTTTTTGCCCCGCTCCCCTCAGGAAGGAGGTTAAGGAGCATTAAGTGTAGAACCACTAGACTGAGGAACAGCTTCTACCCTGAGGCTGTTAGACTCATGAATCTTTAACCAGAATAATCACATCATGTTGCTGCTGATCTGTTTCATGTTGCTGCTGATCTGTTTCATGCTGCTGCGTTCATTCGTGCACATCTGCTCACACAGACTCATGTTCATGCTGCTGTTCGGCGTATTGTTTTCATGCTACTAGTGCTTAGTGTACTTTTAGTTCATATCTTAGATCTTATTACTGTGTTTGTCTTTTACATTTTATTGTTGGATGTAACTGGGACCCTGTGTATACAATTTCGTTCCATCACATGTACCACATGTGGTGTGTATGACGTAAAGAACCTTGAATCCCTGAATATTTCTACTACTTTATTTATATAGCACTGTAAAACAACCACAGCTGCAACAAAGTGCTAAACATGTCGAATCAAGAACATTTAAACGTAAAACAGGAGTAAAAATGAATCGGAGCACGTTTCAGACTGTGTCAAAAGCCAGGGAATAAAAAAGTGGACTGTGAAGGGGCTTGTCTGATAATAATACTTTATTTATAAAGCACTTTAAAACAACCTAAATGCCATATATAAAATCTAAAGTATTTAAACGCATAAAAGAATAAAACAGTTAAAACATAAAGATATAAATAAAATATATATCTCAAAGGGAGGGTCCAGCTACTGCAGAGGAAACTCATTTCAACCTCCTGTATCCATGATCTCATTCTTTCAGTCACTACCCAGAGTTCATGACCAGAGGTGAGGGGAGGAATGTAAACTGACTGGTAAACAGAGCTTTGCCTTACAGCTCAGCTCCCTCTTCACCACAATGGACCAGCACAGAGTTCGCAATATTGCAGACGCTGCATCAATCTGTCTGTCAATCTCGCGCTCCATTCTTCCTTCACTTATGAACAAAACCCCGAGATACTTGAACTCCTCTACTTGAGGCAGAACCTCGGCCCCAAGAGAGCAACCCACCCTTTTCCAGTTGAGGACCATGGCCTCAGATTTGGAGGTGCTGATTCTCATTCCAGCCGCTTCCCACTCATCTGTGAACTGCTCCTGTGAGAGCTGCACGATGACGCCAACAGGACCACATCATCTGCAAAGAGCAGAGATGGAATCCCGAGGCCACCGAACCGAAAACCCTCCTCCTGGCTGCACCGAGAAATTCTGCCCATAAAAGTTATGAACAGAATCGTGACAACGAGCAGCCCTGGTGGAGTTCAACTTCCACCCTGAAGGGATCCGACTTACTACCGGCAATACAAACCAAACTGTCACACCGCTTGTAGGGACCAAACAGCCTGTAACAACAAAACCCCAATCCCATACTCATACCATACCACTTTATTTATAAAGCACTTAAAACAGCTACAAGGCCAACCAAAGTGCTGTACAGACAGAAAAACAGACAACACACAAAGCAAAATACAAAATGAGGTAAATCAGAATATAGATATAAAAACGATGCAGATAATGACGACAAACCAGTGTGGAGCATACAGGATCAAAACACAGAACATCTGGTGTTGAAAGCTACTGAATAGTAGTGGGTTTTTAAACGGGACTTGAAAACCGAGAGGGAGGGGGCCTGTCTGACAAGCAGGGGTAACTCGTTCCAAAGTCTTGGTCCTGCTACAGAGAAGGCCCTGTCCCCTCTGCGCTTAAGACGAGTTCCTGGAACTGTGAGGAGCAACTGGTCCGCTGACCTCAGGGAACGCGGTGGGACATACGGTTGTAGCAGATCAGAGAGATGGGGGGGCGCGACACTGTTCAGTGATTTGTAGACATACATGAGTATTTTGAATTCTCATGGAGCACCTCCACAGTGTACCCTGAAGGACACGGTCGAATGCCTTCCTCAAGTCCACAGAACACATGTAGACTGGATGGGCAAACTTCCATGACCCCTCGAGGACCCTAGTGAGGATAATGAGCTGGTCCAGTGTTCCACGGCCAGGACGGAACCCGCATTGTTCCTCCCGGATCTGAGGTTCGACCAACAATCGGACTCAATTCTCCAGTGCCCCTGAATAGACCTTACCAGGAGAGTGATGCCCATGTCAATGGAGAACACCCTTTTTGAAGAGGGGAACCACTCCAGTTCCACAGATACTGACTTGGTGCTCTAATCATGATTCTAAGACAAAACCCAGCAGGTAGAAAAATATACAACCTACAAAGAATATCTACAAAGAACTGAAGAGTTGGTCAAAAATATGATGAGATCAGTTTGAAAAGGACAAACTGAAGCTAAAGAAAGCAGGTCCAGGAGCTGCTATCAGATGCCAGAGATGATACAGGCAGAATTCATAAAAATACAAACTTGGTTCCAACTTAATAAGTTATCATTAAATCTGGAAAAAAACTACATGATTTAGTAATAGAAAGAAAATGATCCAAGTCCTGTTTAAAAATGACAGTAATGAAATTCATAGAGTTAATGAAATTAAATTTTGGGTGTCGTTATTGATGAGAAGCTGACATGGAAATCTCATGTAAATTACTTTAGAATAAAAATATCAAAATCAATTGCATTACTGTATAAAGTAAAAGAGTTTCTGAATGACAAAGCTTTGTATATATTGTATAATGTAATGATTGTTACATATTTAATATATTGTATTGAAGTTTGGGGAAAAGCATGCAAAACAATTATAAACCCTATTTTTATTTGACAAAAACGAGCTATAAGAATTATTAGTAGGAAGTACTAACAAATATATTATTTCAACAGTTGAAATTATTAACATTTTGTGATTTGGTTGAATATAGTATTTTACAAGTCATGGATTAAGCTCATAAAAATATTAGCCCAAATATTCAGTTAAAATTTGTTAAAGAGAGTCGTTATAACCTTA